CTTACCGAAACGCCTATAATGTATTTTTCACTAAATATATTATAAAAATTGATGCACTGTTAAATATTAATGTAGCTTTAAAATGTGATCTGCCTGCATAAAATACATTTTAAAATTCTCAGTCTAAACGTATATCGAAATTTAAGAGGCACATGATTTGACTTTCCTTGTAAATGGCGATTAGCGATGGTCAGCAAAACTGGTTATTGAAATTAAAAGCAAATAAAAATAGTTTTATAATCAAAAGTCTTATGTCAGCATTTAAATATAATTGTTACCCCAATTAACCTCATCTACAGCGTTAATTAAAAAGTTTTGCACGACATCGCAGTTCAATTATTACGTAATCATAGTGAAACAAGACCCAATTCCATAGCAATTAAAACTTTTAATCCATATGTAACCGCATTTAATTCTTTTGTACCTTAAAAAGCATCGATGGTTCATTTACAATATTTACTACCTTCCTTGTACATAAAAAAACACTTTCTCGATTCCTTTTTCGTAATCATGTTAGTTGTTTATGTCACTGAATCGATGTTGAGTAGAATACAGTCTTTTGATTATGTAAATGAAAAATGTTACAAAATGATTTTTGAGTAGGAAATATTACAAAAAATATACAATGTAAAAATTATGATGTTTATATTATGTAGTTTTACGATGTTTTAAACTTCATGTAGCTCAATTCATTTCTAATTTTAAACCGTATTTTGACCCCGCTTATTCGTCGCATTATCATCAGCTCAGCAACGTGTATAATCTGCTCATATATTTTCTTCACTATACAAAATTCCGATTCGAACCTCAAGACCGGTATAACAATATGCCGATAGTTTCTTTTATATACTGTTTGTCCTTATTATCAAAACTACACTTAATTTTGTTTTTCTTCATATTGCTAATGGTCTTAGATCCGAAGTAAGGTCGACCTTCATCCATATGTTTAACGGATGAAAGTTTCTTTTTATTAAATAAAATATTGTTACACAGGTTTTTGGCATCGCAATTTATTTCAACTCAACTTTAACAATAATTATTATACAACTGATAACATTAACATGTAACGTCTATCATAAAACTGCCAACTGACGTCAGGTTGTCGACTTATATAGCTTGCGTCCACCTTCTAGAACCTTCTCGCACGATCTGGATTTTTCTTTGACATGGAATGACATTTCAAGACATTTCTGGAATATTCCATCTTCTTCATTTACTCGTACCTTTACTTATGACGAACGTAGCACGCTGTAGGGTGCTGCGTAACATTGCTCGCTCCTCTCTAGTTATTCGCCCCGAATAACTTAATTATTGGGACCTAGTTGGATCTAATGGGGAGGATCTTGGACCATGGTATGGAGCTATCTTTCCACTGTGAACTACGTTGGATTTATTTTCCGCTGACAGTTGAATGCGGCAGATACGGTCGTTAATTTTCCTTAAGGACGGAGTAGGGGCCTCGCCAGTTTCGTTGCGATTTCTTACAAAGTCCTCCTCGCTGCTTGGGATTGCACCGCCATACCTTGTCACCGCTCTCAAAATGTGTATCTGCGGCACGCCTGTCGATTCTAGCTTTTGCTTTATCGGTGTGGTCTTTCAGTCGTTCCCGAGCGAATCCATAGACCTTTGTCCTGCCATTGCATACATCACATTTTTTACACCAATCTGCTACATCACGTCTGCAATTGACCCAATAAAATATTTCCCGAACTCGTACTAGTGTGTCCTTTTAGTATCAAAGTGTCCTCCTGAACGGCTGCTATGAAGCTCCTCCAATACGTTTCTCACCTGTGACCTCGGCAGTATCACTTAGCGAACTACATGTACTGCATCGGGGCTCTCCCACTTCCGGTGCAATAGGCCATCGTGAAGATACAGGGAATCCCACTGGGTCCAGTAGCCTTTTTTAGTTCTACTGTATTTGGCTATCTCTTGCCAAGTAGGTGTGACTTTATTTTTAAGCCATTCTCGGACAACCTTTAAGTCATTGTCTTTCTTCTGTCCCTGTCTCAGACTTTCAAGGGTGATTTTTTTTCTTCGTCGTCCTCTGGTCTGATAGTGGTTGCCCGAAGACTAACTTTACCAACCGGTTCTTCTCGTTCTTCGAGCCTTTTACCATACCAGCATTGTTCCTCTAAACGGAGTTGCCCGAAGAGAATGCGTTGCTATGGAGACCTCTTCGATGCTCTACTTTCTGGTTATTGTTAGAAAGCTGGCTCGGTATGGGTGATAAGCTTCTTCGGGACGCATAGCTGCTGTAATTAATTCTTGTTGGTCTTAGTAATGGGCTTGGAAAGATTGATCTACATGATTTTCCGGTCTCATTCGCTGATTCTCGATTTACAGAATGAACCATGCTTCTACAGGTTCTTTGAAGATGCCCGATTCTTCCGCAATTGAAGCATCTCCTGCTTCCATTTTGGCTGTTTCGTTGCATATTTCGTAGGATATTTAAGATTTGGGGAATAGCATTATTATGGGCCTCCTCACTTTCTTGGGATTTAATTTCCCTCACTTTTGCACGAGAAGATCTGGATAGGAGTTTTACCGCTTTATATTCCTGGGCTGCAATCAGTTTCTCCCTCAGCGTCTTGTGATGTTGTAGACGAAGGGCTTGCTGCATTTCCACATCTTGTAGTCCATCAATGAATGCCTGTACTCCGATTTGTTCTTGGAAATCTTTCGGCGCCTATGGATAGGCCAGATGAATTAACCTTCTTATGTCGGCCTCGAATTCCTGTAGACTCTCATTATGTTTCTGACTACAAACCTTTAGCTGGCTTTGAAATACCCGTTGCAAATGCTGCTGGCCGTATCTGGTCTCCAAAGCTTGGACGATAGATGAATAACTGGGTTCTTCTTGGGAAAGTAACTGTAAGACGGTTGCTGCCTGACCTATCAATGAAGCCGCCATCTCTTTCTTGGTCCAGCCATTGGCTCTAGCTGCAGCTTCAAATTGAAGACGATATGTTTCCCATGTTGTCTGACCGTCAAACGTGGGTGGCTTAATGGTCTTGCCTAGTATGGCTTTGCGAAGCTGGGTTTTGGATATAGCTTGGTTCGGTTATGGATGAGGACGAGGTAGTGTTTTCAGTTTCGATGTTGCTTACGAAAGCTTGGCCACGAATTCTTTTCTCTAACTCAGCCATTTCAGCTCTAATTCGCCTTTCCAACTCCGCTCTAGCCTGTTCTTGTTGATGTTATAAATTCGCTTTTAAGTTGTCTTAATTACTTTTTAGATTATCTTGCTGTTGTTTTAACAGATCTATTCTAATTTTAAGCTGACCAACCTCTTACTTGAAGGTTTCCTGGATTTACACCATTTATAATCTCCACCTCCACTTTTCTATGCCTTTCTTTTTCCTTCTTCCTACACCTTTCCTTTTTGTTCTCTTCTTCCTTCCTACGCCTTTCCTTTTCTTCCTCTTCTTCCTTCCTACGCCTTTCCTTTTCCTCCTCTTTTTCCTTCTTACGCCTTTCCTTTTCCACTTCTCGCCTTACTATCTCCTCTTCCATCATCAAAAGCCATGCTGGTGGGCCTGAAGTATCCATGCCTGCTTCGTACTCAGTGGATCTAGTATTTACCATGAACTTTTACTTTATATCCTACCGTTGTCACCAATGTTACACAGGTTCTTGGTATCGCAATTTATTTCAACTCAACTTTAACAACAATTGTACAACTGATAACATTAACATGTAACGTCTATCATAAAACTGCCAACTGGTCAGGTCGTTGACTTATATAGCTTGCCTCCACCTTCTAGAACCTTTTCGAACAATCCGGATTTTTCTTTGACAAGGAATGACATTTCGAGACATTTCTGGAATATTCCATCTTCTTCATTTACTCGTACTTTACTTATGACGACCGCAGCACGCTGCAGGGTGCTGCGTAACAATAGTTTTATAAATATACCGCAAATGGGTCATACGGTCATGACTATTTATTTTCTTAAAGTAAACGACACCCTGTAAAGCATTCCCCAGATGCTTCGACTATGCCCAAACTTTAATCAGCTCACTGCAGGATGTATTAAAGCTTATCTTGAATTAGGTCCATTTTAGGGAAATGATGCATAGGAACAAGTAACTTTTATTATGATTTCTATACTTTCCTTATCTGTATACAGAAAGGAAAGTAAAAAATGGTTGTGACCATATTTTCTTAAGCAACCCATTTGCGATATATCTATTAACATATTTTTTTAAAAAATTCACTTTCATCCATTAAACGGATAAGTGAAGGTCGACCTTACTTACGAATTCTGTACTATAAAGCCTTCTGCTTCCTACTTCCCTCTCTATTAATTTAACCTGTTATTTTAACAGTTATCTTTTAGTTTTATCATTTCTATAAATAATTTCCTGACAAACTTTACTGCCAAAAACATCGTTATGTTTCAATTGCATTTATTTTAAATAAAGTTTAAATGCTCTTAACTTAATAGACTATTACTTATTTCTTCAATTGAAATTTCAAAGTATATTGATTATCAGTCAAAAAATGTTCTTGAACTATTCACCGTTTATGAAATCAAACTTATTAAATTTTATTACAATCAACGACATTTCTCACACATTGTTATTGTCCTGTTTTTAAAAAACGTTATATTAGTTGAGCTTCCTAGTAATTTTATTGCAAAAGAAAAGAAAGTACTATTTATTATTAAATACACCTTGACTACATTGAAAATTATTAATAGAGGATAATGGTTTTGTAAAAAAATTTGTGTTTGAAACTGCTAATATTTAATTAAACAAAATTAAATAGTCAATGGACGTTAATCTATATAAGATGACTCACATGTCTTTCCAAATCCCTTCACTTCACACCCTTTTCATAAGGATTCATGATATGATGAGTAATACAGGAGGGTCTCTTATTTGTATCTTTTAAGTAAAATAATAGTCTGAGGTTGTCATAATTCAATAATGGGAATTAAAAAATAATAGTTGTTCGTTGATTGCTTTTATGTTTTTCTATTTTTGTATTACAGGAAGAATTAGATTTAACAGCACCAAATAAGGCAGCAATGATGAGCCTACCGCCACAGAAAAAATGGCAAATATATTGCTCAAGAAAAGGAGAAGACACCGAGGACCAAACACACGCCCCTGAACATTACGTTGAAAGACTGCGAACTTTAGCCACAGTAAGTATCAGAACTATCAAAAATTGCAAAATGTATTTTTATTAAGTAGCGGGTTACAACTGCAGGTCACAACTATTGCAACTTTAGAAATACACAATCTAAATCTCCTTATTCGCACAGTACTGGATATGGCCCACACATATATTTATATTGCTTTCTAGGTTGAGGTTATTTTGGATTCAGCAAAATTTATATAAGGTACCGTAAACTAGGGGACTTATAGATCTTAACTTATTATTAAAAAAAACTAAATTTTCCTGTAAACATTTTAGTTTTTATTTCATAAATACATAATTTTCTAAATATTTTTATTACGGTAAAGATTTTAACTTAAAAATATGTACATGTTAGTTAATGGCTATAATTAATTAACACACTTTATTTAGATAAATTATGATAACCCAATCAAGAGCTAAAAAACAATTTAAATCCAAACTTTTTGAACACCCTATTTTTCATAAAAGTTAAGATTAATTGTTATTCCTCACGCACCCAGACAGCACACATAGTCCAATGGACGTCCACTTCAGATCCATTGGAGGATCAAAAACGTCCATATCCGTATTTGGACATCCAGTGTACGTCCATTTATAATCATTTATTTGTCTGCTGTATATAGATACCCAGAGGACGTCTGTTTTTGGACTTAATTGTTTAGTAGTATTTTGAGGCCTAGTGGACGTCCATCATAGGTTTATTTATTTATTTGGGCTACCAGTTAATACGCAGCTATATATACTTTCTTTTTTTAATTTAATTTAATCTGAAATCTTGTTCTATTATAACCATATCTAGTAAAAAGTTTGCAAGTGGCTCCTTGGTCGAGATCTTCTAGTGGTTAAAAGCGTAGAACGATAATAAACATGTCGTGAGTTTGATGCCTGCTCAGATCAAGCGATTTTTGATAATTAAAAGAAAGAAATGGTGTATAGCTGGTTACAAAATTAATAAATAAATTATATTAATATAAAATAGTGTGTGGTGAGTTGCAGTGGTGTAAAAAATGAGGTTGTGATTTCAATGGAATATAATCCAGGAATGGACGTTTTTTAAATGTCCGGTATTCAATGTCCAAATATAATCTAGAATCGGACGTCCACTTAATGGTCAAAACTGTGCCATTTGTATACCTCACTGGACGTCTATTGTAAGTCGGAAGTCCAAAAAACTTATTTTTGGACATCCAGACATCCAAAATTATATATCGAATGAACGTCCAATGGACCTATTTGTGCTGTCTGGGCAATTTGTCACATAAAAAGGGACATTCCATTTCAGAGATTTTTTTAGTTTTAGCTAACGTATTGTTAACGCTAAGGTAGACCATACACGCCTGCATAAACATTTAAACAATACAAATCCAGTTAATATGCATTGTAATTTTTACCTTAGCGTTCAGAATCAGTACAGGATTGTTACCGCGAACGACACTATTGAAAGGTCCAATAACTAATTGGACCAAGATCTTATCGGCCCTTAATAAAAATTTTCATTTTTGGATTTCATAATGTACATAGCTTTCATGTGTAATTAGGGCTAAAACTGAAAAATTTCGGAAATAGAATGTTTTACAAAGGTCCCTTTTTTGTGACAAACTGCGAGAGGAATAATGAATAATCTAAACGTTTATGAAATAAAGGGCGTTTCAAAAGTTTGGATTAAAATTGTTTTCTTAGCCCTTGATTCTACTCCAATGGGTTATCGTAATTTATCAAAATAAAATGTATTAATTAATAATGGCGATTAACTAATAAGTACATATTTATAAGTTAAAGTCTTTACCGCAAGGGAAGATATTTAGAAATTGATGTATTTATAAAATTCACCTTATCACCCTGTAGAATGAAAACTATAAATTTTACAGGAAAATTATATTTTGCTTTTCTTAATAATTAGTTAAGATCTTCTTTATTCTGAAACATCCTGAAGATAAGCAAATTTTAATCCTTTCTATTTAGTTGCTACACCACTTTATGCATTGTCTAGAATTGTTAAAATAAGGAGCACCTAATTATTTTTCTATTTCACTTTTCCTACAATACACGCAGCTATAGGATTAATTGGTACACGTCACAAGACCTAGGGGACATACAATTTTAACTTTCAGTTTCTTCGGCTTCCAGATATCTGAACGACAAAGTTTTTTGTAAATGTTAAAGTTTAAAATGCACTAATAATTTTGTTATAGTTCATTATGGAGACTGGATTACATGCGTTCTATTCCAATACAAGTTGACGATTGATTATGTCGACCTGTCAATCCTTTGATTGAAATTGACGTCATAATATCAAAAATACACTATAAAATAATAGTATTATGTAATTTTTTTATAAGAGTGAAACCACTCAAAAAACTATTTCTTTTTTTTGAAAATTAAATTAAACATATATGTAACAGTGATATTTTGGAAACCTAAGATGTTTATCTAAATGAGTTTTATTTAAATATTAATCTCATTTCTTTTTTTTGTTTTCAGTTAGAATATCCAGAAACAAATACTGAAGAAGAAGTTAGATCTAGGACGAAACAAATAGATGGACTGAAAACAGCGTTGCGGACTTGCACGCACAGTTTTGTGATAAAATTCATCGAATTAGATGGGCTAATAGCTCTTTTAGATTGCTTGGAGAGAATGGACTATTTTACCGCTCAAAGTTCGATACATACAAGTTTCATTGGTTGTGTCAAAGCTCTTATGAATAATTCTGTAAGTATATGTTAGCAAATTGGAATCAATGTTCGATTATATTTTTTAAATTTTATATCGGTTTTAATACATGAATCATGATCAACATTCAATATTTTCTTGCTTTATCTTCTGCATTTACTTATCCCATACATATGTATCAATATAGTTATCTCATAAAGTTTTACTTCTGTCTGCAGTTATGATGAAATGATATTTTTTAATTTCTTTCCATTAATAGATAACCAATTTTCTTAAATCCTTCTACATACTATGGTAATTTATTTCAGACTGGTAGGGCACACGTGTTGGCACATCCGACCAGTATTAATACAATTGCTCAGTCATTAAGTACAGAAAACATCAAAACCAAAATAGCAGCGTTGGAAATTTTAGGAGCTGTCTGCTTGGTTTCAGGAGGGCATAAAAAAGTCTTAGACGCCATGCTACATTACCAAAAATTCTCCTTTGAAAGAACGAGGTTTCAGGGCATTGTGAACGATTTAGACCGATCTACTGGTATGCCCATTTTCGTAAATAGCAGTTTATTAGTTATTAATATTTGCTTTATTTTTAGGAGTTTACAGAGATGAGGTAAATCTTAAAACTGCCATCATGTCTTTCGTTAATGCCGTACTAAATTACGGTCAAGGTCAAGAAAATCTCGAATTTAGGTTACACCTTAGATATGAGTTTCTAATGTTAGGCATACAACCCATCATAGACAAACTACGTGGCCATGAAAACGAAACCTTAAATCGACATTTGGATTTTTTCGAAATCGTCAGAAATGAAGACGAAAAAGAACTTGCGAGAAAATTTGAACAAGAACATATTGATACAAAGAGCTCTACTTCTATGTTCGAACTTATAAGGTAAATATTATATAATGTCAAACTATCATTAACTATTACTGATAAAAACAATTTGTATGTTTTAGAAAAAAATTATCCCACACAGCAGCATATCCCCACCTCTTGTCTCTTCTGGAACACTGTCTTCTTTTACCTCTAGACTACGGCTCCTATCCCCAACATTGGTTACTTTTTGATAGGATAGTCCAACAGATTGTCTTACAGCAAAGCGGAGAAATGAATATTGTTAAAAACCCTGATGTATGTCCAATTGACATCAACGTTAAAGAGATTGTTCACTTGTTAGCCAAAGAAGAAGAATTAGTGGCTGCCAGGAAGAAAGCGGAAGAATTAGAGAAGGAAAACATTGACATGTCGAATCGGTTAGCAAAAAAAGAACAAGAACTGGATCATAGAACGCAGGAAAAAGAAGATTTAGAAACGGGTTTGGCCAGGTTTAAAGAAAGATTGGAGAAGGAAACTAGTGCACATATCGACACAAGGCAAAGGTAAATATTATTTGTTAGATTTACATCTAAAAAAAAATAACGTTATATCGTCAAACTAAATTTTACAATAAAAAAGTTTATCCTATCGGTTCAAATTATTTTATTCACGAAAAGCTAGAAGCTTGTATTGATAGTAATCATTAAGGAGTTCACGGGATAATAATGATTTGGAAAAAGCCGTTATTTTATAATCTTTTAATAATTTTAGACTAAACGAGTTAGAATACAAAGCAGCAGACTTAGACCGCCAAATCAGTTGCGAACGGGGTGAACGTCACCGTCTCGAGCTCCTAGTGAATTCTGGATCAATTCCAGATGATGCCAAAGCCATTAGCCTGAACAAATCTCTCGATTCATCGACGGAATGCAAAAATGAATTCGTGAATATACCACCGCCACCACCTTTAGCACCTCCTCCACCACCTCCTGGTATCCCTGGACCACCTCCACCACCGTGCGCGCCGATAGCGCCGCCTACAGAGCCTTTGAAGATAGAAATTGTCAAGAAAAATATTCCGCAACCTACACAGCCTTTGAAAAGCTTTAATTGGTCGAAATTGCCTGATGCTAAGTTGAACGGGACCATTTGGAATGAATTGGATGACAGTAAATTGTACAACACAATGGAGTTGGATTCTATTGATAAACTGTTTTGTGCTTATCAAAAGAACGGGGTTACGGTTAGTTAATTCTGGCATAAGTGACCAAATAACTGTAATAAAATATATTCTTTTTTAGAACGATGGTTCCATAGAGGATCTTCGACATATCGGCAAAAACCGTTCTAAAATACTCTCAGTAATCGACAGCAGACGTGCTCAAAACTGTACCATATTATTATCGAAATTGAAAATGTCTGATGAAGATATAACTAAAGCTATATTAAGCATGGACAGCAAAGAACAACTTCCCATGGATATGATCGAACAACTGTTGAAGTTTACTCCAAGTTCCGAGGAAGCAGCACTTTTAGAAGAACATAGTGATGAAATAGATTCGTTAGCTAGGGCTGATCGGTTTTTGTATGAAATCTCCAAGTACGAAAAAATTGATAATTTATTGTCATTACCATTTAGGTTTTGGATCCCTATTAATAAAAAATTTCATTTTAGGGTACCTCACTATGAACAACGTCTACGAAGTCTCCATTACAAGAAACGTTTCCAAATTACCCTAAACGAAATTTTACCCCGAATAACCAGTGTCATGGAAGCTTCTCGCGAAGTATCTCGTTCCAGAAGATTACGAAAAATCCTTGAAATCGTTTTAGCTTTAGGAAACTATATGAACCGAGGTGCCAGGGGTAACGCCTCAGGATTCCGACTGACTTCACTGAACAGACTAACTGATACCAAATCTAGTGCTTCCAAAGGCACGACGCTCCTTCATTACTTGGTACAAGTTTTAGATAAGAAGGTAATTTTCTTAAAAATATTTATATAATTTTTTTTTCAAAATTATTGTATTGCGTACATTTTTAGTTTAAAGATGTTCTTCGACTTGACGAAGATCTACCTCACGTTCGAGAAGCCGCAAAAGTATCTTTAGGTGAACTTAACAAAGATATGGCGCAATTGAGAGCCGGCTTGAAAGATGTAGCAAGGGAAATTGAATTTCACATAAGTCAGAGCCCTCTAGCCAATGATAAATTTGTACCTGTCATGCGAGAGTTTCAAGCTACTGCTACATGCAGGCTGGCAGAAGTTGAAGACCAATACCAAGATATGAAAGTAAGAAAATTTAACTGCCATTATACCGGATTAGAGATATTTTTACGATTTTTCATTTTTAGAATCGTTTTGATCGAGCCGTTCGCCTTTTCGGAGAAGATCCTACTAACACCCAACCTGATGAATTTTTCGGAATTTTCGATACCTTTATAAATGCTTTTACTGAAGCCCGACAAGACAATGAAAATATGCGCAGAAGGCAGGAAGAAGAAGAGAAACGCGCCAAGCAAGAAGCCGAACTTAAAAAGCTTACTCTTGAAAGAAAACACAGCAGAGAAGGTGAGAATTTTTGGAAAATAATCGGCTAGTTGATACTTGAAATACGGAGTTAATGACCTAAATTTTGTTCCGGATTATCTGGTAATTAGAGGTAGAATTATTGCAAACAATGGGAAGGTTTAGTAAAAACTATTTGTAAGCGGCAGCAAAACTGCAAACACTCTATTATATTTGACAGTTGAAATTTGAACTACGGCCTACACTCGCGCCATAACGTCGCAGCGATAATTCTCCATGTCAATGATTTTGAACGTTGCAGAAAACTAAAACGCTGTCTCTACACTCACATTGGTAGTTATGATTTTTAGGTAGCTGAAACATAATTATCTCTAGTGAGAACAAATTTTGTAAGGTGGGTTTGGGGGTTCTGAGTGATTATAGGCAGTTATTTTTGGATTTGGCGGGATAAAAAAAGCAGTAAGGTATTGTGAAGGAAACAACACTGAATAACACAAATAGCGAATTAATAAGCAATACCGTTGCACAATATTGCTAAATAAATAACACTAAATCTTTAAAGAAATAAAACAATTGAGGAAAATAATAATTAACTTTTTAAAAATTTTAATTAACGCACGATCGTTAACAGCAGTCGCTTTATAGGTAGGTGGGCCATCTGTACGGGACTGTACAGGGGCGGCTCTAAGAGTATGCGCGTTACTTATTAGGTATACATTTTATTAGTCTGGAGTAATTTGTGTTCCAATGACAGTCAAGTTTTAACCAAAACAAACCATTTTAACGTATACGTTTTTAGTTTTTTTTTTTAATATTGTTTACAGGTCATAAAAAAGAGTATAAAGGTATGTAACCAAATTAGTTTTATTGCATATGAATACAATCTTAAAAAAAGATATTAATGAATACCTATAACCTCAATTTTTATAAGTCTACTGTCATTGTCTTTTGGACATAAATTACGTTATCACTCACAGCGTATTAGGGAAGGGGGGATAGATTTCCAGTGAAGCGTAAAAAGTGAAAACCGCACAAAATACAATTTTAATTTAAAAAAAAAGAAATTTTTAAAAACCACAATAAAATTATCAAAATGAAACTATTTAAAAATACTTATATTTTTTTAAATTTCCCACAATCGATACCTACAAGAATAAACAATTAAAAAACAGGGACTTACATTCCTACGATTCATGGCTCTGATAGTTAAGCGTTCCACTTTGGATTTTGCGACCGGGAGTCGTTCCCGAAAAAATACATTTTTTTGGGTGAAAATATGAAAATTGACAAAAATACTACTATCGATTCATTTTAAATATTACTTATTTATGTAACCCCTACAGTTAACCAATCCACTAATCTTTTCGCAATTTATTTTGATAACGCGCCTAACTGTTGGGGTGACATTGTGATAAACATAATATATTTAAAATAAATAAACAATAGAAAATACTTTTTTAAGTTTTATAATCTTCAAAAAAAAATATTGCTCTCTCGGGAATTGAACTGTCACCAAATCCAAAAAATGGTCAGCAAATCCAAAATTGAAAGCCATAAGGGCTCGTGCCAAGTGAATTATCTAATCAAATATGTGTATTACCCAGAAAAAACATATTATTATCTAGTTACCAACGACGAACAACTACTAGACTAACTTTGTTAACAAAAATCGAATAGCAAACATTCGAGGTGACATTCGCGGTGTCATATCCACATTATTATGAGAGAGTATGGGAGAGTCTTGTAAGTATTGTTTATGGTTACAAATTGGAATTAACATAAAGCTTTAAAACGCACAGATGGCTTTCAAAATTACATTAGGTATATTTGAATTCTTAATCAGTTTAATGTCTATTTCTCGTTGCAACTATAATAGTTGAAATCGATTTCCAGGAAATTTATTTTGAAATGTGACAATAGTGTAAAGCAAGAGTCTTAGCCTTAATTACTTATTCATTCATAAAACGTGTGCTCATCAGTGGTGGCTCGTGGGCACTAGCGGCAGTGGGGGTACACACTGGAAAGGAATCCCGGGATTCGTTTTTCCCTTAGGAAAACAAGTTCTCCGCTTAATGAAAATTAAATATATTTCAAAACAATCAGTTAAGGCAATAACGATTTCTGAATGTGACTACACGGAGCTAAATGTGACCACTCAAAATGCATTTAACTATGTGGCTATTTAATCAAAAAATCATTACATATCCACTCTTGCGAAATTTGCATAAATTTCTCAGAAGAATGCAATTTACTTAACAATTCTAACTTTTTAACGCATTTTAAAGCATAGGACTCTGAAGAAAAGGTGTTTGGCAATTTAAAATCTTCCAGCGAAAAATTTCTCTTTTATATTTTTAAATTAGAAAAAATGTCTATATCTCTATTTGATAGTTTGTCAACTAAGCCTGAAATTTCCAACGCATATCTATTTGAGATGAGTAAAATAGAATTTGGTCATCCTTGCCAACAATTTGCGAAAATGTACACCATTAAATTATTTATAAGACTCAGAATTTTTTATACTCTTAAATATGCAAACAGAGATTTGAAATCCTCGAAAAAGTCAGACAAAATAAAATTTTGTCCCATTTATAAATATACACCCCACAAATATTATCGCATCACTAAAATGTTTGCAATGTATGTTTATAAAAACAGGCAGTGCTAAAAAACTGTATTTCTCCTCTAATAACAGAGAGAATAAAACAATCCAAAAAATCAAATTTTGCGAAAAATGAGGCTAAAGTAGGCTATTAATTATAACATGCTATTATTGCTGGTACACTCCACAGGGTGTTACGAATTTTCCAACCAAAAACCTATATTATTGTAACATCCGGTATACACTCTAAAATTAAATTTTATTAAAAGAATCAAAGAGATTACTATTCCTAAAGAATCAACTTATCTTTCAAAAAAAGAATATCCAAATCAATCAAACGGTTAAAAAAAAACTCCAAATTTTTGAAACTATTAGTGATGCGATAATTTTTGTGGGGAGTATATTATTGATTTTCTTTTCATCATATTTTTGACTGCTTTATAAGTTATTTTTCTTTGTAGTTTTATTTCTTAACTATTCCAATGGTCCAACTAACGTTTTTTTCGTAATCACAATAAATAAATTATTATCATGGTCCAACAAACGCGCACCTTAAGCCGAAACCGGCATCGCCTTTGTGAGGGAGCCGGTAAAGATGCCTCTGCGTACATTCATATCTGGTCTAGGACAGCGCCCCGCTTGTGACGTATAATCCATTGCATGTGTTCATCTCTTGCTAAGCGATATTGTCGTTGTCCTTGTTTTTCGCATCATAATGAGACAGAAAACAACAGAGGCACACATTTACTGTGCCCTGTGTCCATCTTCAACTTAATTTCGGAATTCTCGGAACGTCGCTCAACGCCCGTTCGTGCCAACGCGGTTTGCGTTGAATATTAGATAAAACAATAATAGGCATTGGGAATAGTATATTACATAACAAGAGTAGTAAGAAGCTAATTACATGCGAATAGAAAAGTTGCACACGAGCCGCGTTAGCGGCGAGTGTAGTAATTCTACGAGCATGTAATTGCTCTTACAACTCGAGTTATGTACTATACTTTATCTACAACCACATTCATACATTCATAATAAAAAAGCTTTCATAATCTATAACATTTATTAAATACAATAATTCATTAACATATCATTGATTCTTAGAATAATAATTAACGGTAAAATTTTGGCAATTTTGAATAATTATGGGTTCGTTAGTATTTTGAGGTATTTTATAAGAAGTAGATGGCACTGAAAGAGATGATGTAGATGGTGCAGAGGAATTAGACTCTATTTGATTGCTGTTATTTATGGTTTGAAGGATATTATAAGTAGAAATATTCTCATTTATTTCTGATGTGCTAGGTGGAAAATCTGTTTTTTCAATTGACTATAATTTTATGAGCCGTTAAAGTTTTATTATTTAATGAATTATCAACATATCCTTCAGCAGTCGTTGAGGATTTCCAGCCTCCATGCCTTTTTAATGCGAATAAATCACCACCTGCATCAATTAGAATTGTGGCAGAAGTTCTTCTTAAACAATGGCCGGTGTATAAATTGGGATTGGGCAAGTTTAAATATTGTGCTATTTGTTTGGGTACATTTCCAATTTTATTTATACCGACCACTTGTTTGGTGCATTTTCCTTTTTGATAGTTTATGAAAAATTGATTTGTATCAAGATTTTGCACTTGCTGGCGATGTTGCATATATTGTTTGCATATTTGATAAAAGGTTCCGTTAATCACAAAAGACCTGCTTATCTTAGTTTTTGAATCAGGTATTTCAATAATCAGTATGTCACCAACATCTCTTATATCCTTGATTTGTAAATTTTTTAATTCTTGTTTCCTACATGCGCCACAAACTCCAATAATTAGAATCACCTTAAATAAAATATTGAAAAGTAAAATCACTAGCCAATACTAAATTAACTGAAGGAAAATTGCTTTAGATACAAACCTTTGTTAATAAGTATTGTGAATCAGGAGCTTCATTTAAAAATTTACTTATTTCATCAGAAGAAAAAATTTTTGATTTTTTGCTTTTAAAACCTTCCGATTGCCTTTTTAGGAATGCCTTTAATTTTGGGTATGTTTCAATATTCACGTTGTTTTTTATGGAAATGACGGTCCTTAACATGGAATATATTGCCCATATTGATGAAGGTTTAAATTGTTCCATTAGGTCTCCAAAATATGCCAAAAGCACATTTTCAGAAAATGAATTAATCTTGTTTTTTATACGCCAGTCCATAAACTTTTGGTATACTATTTCATACCTTGTTCTTGATTTTGTTGGCAGTAATTTTTCAGTGGTATTGGCAGCTTTTTCAAGAATTTCAGGTGGAGTTTCTTGAAATTCATTTTCGCTATCTGACGAAATCATATTCATTTAAAAAAATAATGCTGTAACTACAAAAATGGCGATTTTATATTTCTGAAATGTCAAAACTTATTAATCGTAACCATGGCGATCACCTAGCAACGGACTAATATGG